TTTAATGCTAGATTAGTTTAAGACTGAAAAGGCTTGGAAAATATGATAGAACATAAGGGTATGAACTAACAGTAGTAAACAGTGGGAAGCTTAGCAAGGCCTATTCGTTCATTCATTCCTTCAGATTTCTCTAAGTGTCCCTCCATCTACAGAGATAAAGATGTTCCTTTCCTCCAGGTATATAGGGAGGGCACCTCTCATGTAAGGGTCTTATGACCTGCTTCAGGAGCAGTGGGGGAGGTCAGAGTACCTACCATTTGTCAGATTCCTTTATCTTAAAATATTTGCTGTGCCAAGTTACCATATTCTGTGGTTAGCATGTCCAGAAACCCTGTCACAAGTTAAGGTTAAACAGTTACCATCTCATATGGGCTATCAGTTATGGATTAGAGGTTTAGACCGTAACTCAGGGTCTGGAAGCAGGATATGTCTAGGGTGGTTGGCCTAAGCTGCACATGGACATGCTTGTCCAGGCTGCACATGGCCTGCTTGTCATAGCTGTTAACTGTCAGGGTCTCCAAGTGCCCTTCAGAAGGAGCTGGCTTTAAAACTTCAGTCTCCTTGGTGGATGTTAGAACTTTACAGAATTACTTGATCTGATTTGAGTAAATGGAAGTCTGCAACCCTTCCTCTGATTGCCCCTAACTTTCTCTAATTAACCTCCATCACTACCTGCTTAAAGTCTATATTATGCTTATACTTTTTATGTTCTGCCAGTTCCTGAACTCCTATTTTATCTTGATGACGTTCAGTTCTATTCCGAATAACTTCACACACCTTGTATTTAATGTAAGACAAACCAAAAAAAAAAAAAAAGAATTACTAAGGAATGTTTACCTGGGCAACTTAACTTTGGGGTGCTGACCCCAGGATGAACTGGTTTCAAGATGTATGCAATTGGGTTAGCTGCTCTCTAGAGTTGTGAGCTATAAACCACTTAAATGCCGGGAAACAATTACTCCCTCCACCTCACACACATCACACACACACACCCTTGGCAATTTAATATTACAGAGATTTAATTTGAAGCCATTCTTTTTCTCAGTTACTAACAATAAAACAATCGGGGTTACATCCGTGACTTGTAATTGCATTTTTACCAAAAATGATAGTGAGACTTTAGTGTACAAGTTAAAAAAGAAGATGAATTACAGAACACATACCTATTTTGACTCTCTGAAAACTATTTTCAGATCCAGTAAACATTCATTTCTACCAATCTTGATTTTTCAAGGGGATTGTTAAGGATCTATATGAAGCTTATGCACCTTACACCATAACCAGCTCTCAGAGTCAAAAAAATCAATAGAGGGAGCGAGGGAGGGAAGAAAGGGAAGGAAGGAGAAAGAAGGGAAGAATTTTATGTTATTCTTGACAGATTTCTCCACAAAGTGAAACAGACTCTGAGTGGTCAGTAAGGCATGACTATTTCCAACTCTCTCTGCTCCTTTTGTAGGCCCAAGAATTCATATTGTCCAGAGGGACATTGGTATTTATTTTAGAAAATATGTCTGGTAAGCTGATGGATCTGTAATTATAAAGTAATGGAGAGTTTGCTTTTTTAAGTGAATATACTTTGGGTCCAAGCAAATGGAAGCATACTAACCATTCGGTATACTAGGAAACACACAGAGATTATATCAGTTCATGGGGTTTTAGAGTCGAGGCTACACAAAGAAATGAGGGGTACAGGATACAGCCTCAGCAGGGGCACAGTCAGTCTGGAAAATCCTCTTCAAAGGAGGCCAGGACCTGGTGGTTTGCAGCTTTGAGGACCATGGTTGTTTCCTTAGAAGTAGGCTTTCTTTGCTTTCTACGTGACTGCTCCTCCATTTCTTCCATCATCTTGCATAGAAAGCTGGAGAAGAAAGCCTCTGAATGTCACTGGAATCTGAGCATCCATGATGTCATTCATCACACTCACTATGGCCTCTGGATCGGTCTTCAGTGCTGCACGTACAATTTGTCATGGGATTATTAGTCTTGAATATTTTCCTGTAATTGAGGCTTTTATGAAAAAGTTTAATTAGATGTGGTCTTGGAATTTTGTTTAAAATGTTGTATGGTCAGAATAGATGTTGAACTGAAAGTCCTTTTCAAATAAGGCATTCGAATGACAGCACGTAGGCAAAAATATTCTTATTTCCCGCCTATTAAAAAGAAAAATGGCGATGGTGGTGGCTGTCCCAAAAACATTGTTTCAAAGGCAGTTCACTGGGAGTAGGACAAGATAGCCATGCTGTCATTAATTATAACCTGTTTATAAACTTTAAAACAATATCCATATATTTAAACCCTGCTGTGCCTTTTTGAATTATGGGTGGAACTCTTAAAAAAAAAAAAAAAAAAAAAAAGCTTCCATGATACTTTGATTAATTGATCCAGAAGTTTGTAACCAAAGGGGGAAATAATCTTTAGGTCCAGTTTATCTCAAACATGTCCAGTTATAAGAATGTGGAACTGCAGAAAAAATATTTTTGTGTTTCTGCACAGTTAGAGGCTTCTGAACATTTTTACTGGACTCTGGGACCTGAGCTTCAAAGTCAAGCCTCAAAAGCTAAATTATGACTGGATAGATAGTGAGAACTGCACAGATTTACCTCGCCAGAGGTAAAGTTTCAAGGAGTAGGATGGGGAGAGAGGATGAGACCCAGCTTGATGGAGACATTCCCAGGGTTGTTCAGCCTGAGCTGTTGGTCTTATCTCCCCCCAAGACAATATATTACTTTCTGAAGGGTAAGGACCCAAGATCCTTCCCTAGTTGAATTTGTTTACAGTAAAGAGATAAGATTTCTCTCCCTCTGCCAGAGGGGAGGTAAGAACAGCACTATGTCCCTCTCCTATATAATCATCCAGATTGGCATTGTTTAGATTCCTTACCTACAGTGTAGACCAAGTATGGGATGACAACTGGTTTTCATTGTGTCCCTCTAGAAAGAAGAAATTAGGGCATGGGGAACCAGTGCAATCATTTTCTGTAAGTAAATGGTAACTTGTTCTGCTCCAGAAGCCTCATCCTTGCATCCAGGATAATATAAATAAATGTAGATATTATTAAAAACTTTAAATATCAGCTCAGACATGTGTTAAAATATAGATTCCAGGCAAAATCCTCCCTTCCTCTGTCCCACATTCGAATTCAGGAATTCTAGGTGCCTATGAATCTGTATTTGAGCATCTGCCCTAGATGATTCTTACCAGACTTGTTTGGGAAACACTGCACTGGTCCATGACCCAGGAATAAAAAGTGCTTCTTGCAGAATACCAGTCTGCCTCTGCTAGTATGATGTCTCAAGTTCAATTATTGTACCCCCTCTGCCCCATCTTTTAATAGTAAGTAAGTAGAATTAAGGATACAGAATTTTTTTGTAATTTAGACTTTAGGATGAAATTGAAGGTTGACCAACATCTCTCATTGGGCTTTCTGTCTTATCCTTACAGTCCCTTTTATTGTTTGTCTGTTTGTTTTTTAAGGAACTCACCATCATAATCATCAGGTATTCTGGAATCTTTGACCAACTATTTTAGGTTGGTCACCCTAAACTACACCCAAACTACAATCTCAATATTCTACCAAAATTTCACTGATGTCTCCATTCTCTTTAATCGTTATTTTTATGATCCTTTTATATTTGTATATTGCTTTGCCGTTAACAAGATGCTTTTACATTTATTGTCCCATTTGATTCTCAGAGTAGTCTTTGGAAATAAACAGGGACTGTTAGGAGTGTTCTACTAGTTATGTAAACTTGAAATGAGAGTTGAGAAGCCTGTGGGTCCTGAGTTGTCTGGCTGTGGTGTGGAGGCACTTTTAACTGAAAAGGAATCTCCTTGTTGGCATGACATCAACAGCTAACATATAATAAACATTGTAGCAAATACCATTGGGACATATTGAGGGTTGACCTCTTCTAAGATGCACATTAACTGCTGTCCATTCCTGCCTCAGCTCTTGGTAATTATTTTTCTCTAACCAAAAGATAAATGTAAATATGCAAGTACTTGCACTGATAAGAATATCAGTCTTCAAACTGTGTTTCTCAAATGACTTTGAATCCTTTCAATGTTAAACAATAACCATAGACCTTCATACTTTCACAGATTCCCAAGCACTTTCACGCATACTATCTCATGTAATTCTTAACAACTACATAGGAGATACATAAAATACCCATGTTTTACACAGGAGGAAATAGAGGCTAAGAGAAGACCAAGGCCATGTACTCGAGAGGTGGTAGACCCTGGACCTCCAAGTAGGGTATTAAGACTTGTGGCCTGGTCTCCTCCTAGAAAAAGGCACTCAGATTATGATGAAAAAGCAATAAGGGATGTGTTCTGCTTCAAGCATCATAAGCCCTGACATTTCCAAAGTATTTAAATACATCATTTTCCAAAGTCTCATACTCTTGGCAGCATGAGTTCAGAGGAGGCCAGGAAAGAATGCTGGCTAAGAGCTAATGGCACTAATGGTAAGGCACTGCTGTGTCACCCAAATAAGGGGACTGCTGCAATGGTTAACCTCATAGCAGTTCTAGAAAAATGGTGCCCCGCCCTGACTTTAATTCACCCACATCCATTTATCAGGCAAATTTCCTAAGAATTCACTATGGCAAAGCACTATGAAAATGTTGACCGCGGGGCACGCGGGTGGCTTTGTTGGTTAAGCATCTGTCTCTTGGTTTCGGTTCAGGTCATGATCTCACAGTTCGTGAGTTTGAGCCCCACATGGGACTCTGTGCAACTTAAAAAAAAAAAAAA